GTGCTCTGAACAGGAATTCTCTGGAAGGGGGGGGTCATCCTGCACATTAGTTATTGCTCCAGAAAGGGAGTTGCACCAGGGGTACCCACATAATCCAAATACTTCAGATAGTGCTTCAGACAGGGAGTCGCACCGGGGGTATCCACATAATTCAAACACAGCCCCAGACTGGGAATTTCACCAGGGGCACTCACACAGTTCAGCTATTGCTCCAAAAAGGAAGTCCTTAGAAAGAGGGTTTGCCATGGAAGCGGCTCCTGACTCTGGCACCTTCGGCATGTACATGGGGGCTATGGAGTACTGGGGCACTTCCACCACTCAGGCCACTCCAGCTGCTGGCCTTGAGCTTGAGGGACAGTGCTCCCAAGAGGAGTCCATTGTGGACTTGGGGACTTCCACCCCTCCAAGGAACTCTGGCTTGGACTTAGAGGGTCCAGCCAGTCAGCAGCTGGGTGAGTCACCTGGGTCCTTGGGGCACCAAAGTCCTGGTCTGCCTAGCCTGGTAGGCGAGCAGGTAGACCAGGCACACCCACCGGCCATTAGAAGGTCACAGCGCGCCAAGTGCCCACCCAAACATCTTGGAGACTATGTGAGGTTTCTGTCAAGCAAAAGGGAACCTTGCTGGACTGGAACAGGATGCTGACTAACATTCAGTACAGAGTGTTAGTTACAATATATGATTGTGGGTGTATTTTTGTTTAGTTAAAATAATTCTTGTATACAGGTGCTCAGCCTGTGTGCAGGCCATTGTAACTCCACTACTCCCTGCCCCTTGAACAAATGTACCTGTGTGTACATAATAAATAAAAATCATGATTGCCTCATGACTATCTGCTTAGAAAAAGATTGGTTTGATATACATAGTATAAAACATAAATCTATTTATGTATAGATATGCAAATGAATTAATAAGAATTTGGTAATAGCCTAATTACCAAAGTGAAGGAAACTGTTCTGAGAGACTTGCTTTTTGCCAATGACCATGCCCTAAATGCTGGCTCAGATCCATAAGTCAGTATGAACAAATTCTCCTTGTGGCAACTCTGGGCCCACCATCAATATTCAAAAGACCCTTTTTTAAAAAAAAGATGTAAATTTGGAGGAATGGCAGAAGGGTATCAATAAATTCTTTTGGGCTGGGAAAAAACCAAGGGTTAAGTTTAAGATTTTGCAAGATGCCCGAGAAAGAGGAGGACTTAAAGCATCTAACTTGAAATTATACTATGATGCAGCTGCCTTAAGTTGGATAAGTGATTGGCTTAATTTAACAAATAAGGATATTCTTGTTCTTGAAGGGTGGGATTTAATGTATGGTTGGCATGCATATTTAATTTTTAATAAGAAAATGGACCGGGCTTTCAAATCACATATTTTGAGGAGTGCCTTACTTCGAGTTTGGAAAAAGTATTATTATAGGTTAAACTATAAAATACCTATCTGGGGGATTCCTAGACATGCAATTGAGGGGATTTCTAAGGGGATGAATTTTGATAAAATTTCGTATAAAGAATTATTAACTTGGTCAGGTTCGGATTGGCATTTAAAATCTCTAGATGTGTTAAGGCAAGAAAATATTCTACAGTCATGGTTTCAATATTTACAAATAGTGGACAGGTGGACTGTAGATAAGAAAGAAGGAATAACACTAGAAGATGGAAATCTGGTTATTCAGATTAAAGATCAGAGTCAGGCCCATATAAAAAGAATTTACAATGCTTTAATAGAATTAGACTCTGAAACAGAATTGGTTAAAGACTGTATGATTAAATGGGCTCAGAATATCCAGGATCCGATCCCATTGGACTTATGGGAGACAATTTGGATTAGAAATGTTAGATTTACACAAGCTCAAAATTTGAGGGAAAATTTTTATAAAATGTTTTACAGATGGCATTTAGATCCTAAAAAATTATCTTGTATGTATTCAAATTTACAACCCAAATGTTGGAGATGTGGTAATATGGATGCGACATAGTTTCATGTTTGGTGGAATTGTAAAAAGATAAAGGCTTTTTGGATTATGATTTGGTGGAACATTCAAAAGATTTTTAAAAGGAAGATAAAGTTCACCCCTCAGTTATTCCTATTGGGTATCTTTGTGAATTTAAATGACAAAGAAACTACTTTAATGTTGAATTTATTAACTGCAGCAAGGATATTAGTAGGCTCGTATTGGAAGAAGGATTCATTGCCTACTTTAGAAGAATGGATATTTAAAGTTTCTAACTTTGCAGAAATGGCAAAAATTTCTGCTTATTTGAAGGATCATACACAAGAAAGATATATTATTGTATGGAGAAGATGGATAGATTATATTCAGAAAAAATATGGGACTATAAAGTTTCATTTATTTTATGAATAAATTTTATAGTAACCGTTGTAGAGATTTGTTTATATGACTTAATTTAAGGGGAGTTAAAGGTTAAGTATGATGTTTTTTTTCTTGTTTTTTTTCTTTCTTCTTTTCTTTTTTTTATTATAGTTAACTTTCTTATTAATAACCCTGTACTCTGCTCTGGGAAGAGAGGGGAGGAGGGTTGAGGGTGGGTGGGTGGGTGAGTGGGTGGGTAATGATAATATAGTCATGGTAAATGCTTGGGCATTTCCCCCATGCTGCGTTCATGTGTGTGAAAGGGATGAGAGGGGAGGAAGGAGTAGGGAGGAAATAGGATGGTTAGAGGAGAAGGGGAGGGGAAGAGAGTAGGAGGAGAGGAGAGAAAGAGGAGGGAAGTAGGGAAGGATTAGAGAGGGTGGATGCAGCCTGGGGGGAATGGGCAGGCGGTACCAATGGTTAGGAATTTATTTTATTTTGTATGAATAAATGGAAAATAAAAACTTTTTAATAAAAAAATATTCAAAAGACCCAAGTCATGCATCAGCCTCTCCTCATGCAACATATAATTCTTGACTTACAACCATTCATTAAATGACCGTTCAAGTTAGTATGGTACTGAAAAAGTGACTTATGACCATTTTTCACACTTATAACCATTGCAGCATCCTCATGATCACATGATTAAAATTCCAATTTTTAAAAAAATCTTCAAATACAGTTGCCTTCTAAACATATATAAAGCTAATAATATAACAAGCAATGAAAAAGTTGTTTATAGTGAACACATATTCAGATTAGAGCAGGAGAAATTAAAATTAGTCCCTGAAAGAAAAATAAATAAAAGTATAGTGCATGAAGTTGCTATTCTTATTTCTATATTTAAAAATTGTCATTTAAATGCACAAACATAAAACATATACACCAATAGAAAGAAAATTAGAATAGCATTGGAAAAGTAAGGACTGGACTAGTCACAATGTCTTGTCCAAGAAAATTCTGGAAGGTTGTTATTGTAATAATATTTCAGAAGGGAATTTTATGTTAGTTGTTTTTAATTCTTGTAAAAAGGTACAATGAATAAATAAAATATAAGTAAACTTTTCATGCATATTAGTCATACAAAATTAGATCCCATCTTGTTAATCCTAAATACATTTGAAATCAGTGGGAGAAACAGCAAAACAATGAAGAAGAACAGTGGCATGTTAGACACTTTTGAGTTATGCTGGCTCACTGAATGGTAAACTTTTTCTTCTTCAGGAATCTTCATCTCTTTCCATTTTAAGTCAGTTCCAGGGAATTGAAAGTAAATAAGTTCCCCAATAAGTCTATTTCAAACTGCAAAAGCATCAACAGATATGTGTCCATGTATTGCTTACTATATTTTATTTTATTTATTTATTAATAAAATTTATATGCCGCCCAATCCCTAGGGACTCAGGGCGGCGTACAAAATTAAAACAATAAATATAACAATAAAAATGAGTACATTCACTCATTCATGAGTCCCAATCGTATCCCGGTCCCCCCAGGGACATCAACCCCAGGCCTGCCGGAACAGGAGAGTTTTAATAGCTTTCTTGAAAGCCGGCAAGGTGGGAGTAGTTCGAATCTCAGGGGGAAGTTGATTCCACCATGTCGGAGCCACCACAGAAAAGGCCCTTCCCTGAGCGCCTGCCAGCCGACATTGTCTGGCCGACGGGACCTGAAGGAGGCCCAATCTGTGGGACCTCACCAGTCTCTGGGAACTATGCGGCAGTATGCGGTCCTGTAAGTAACCTGGTCCTAAGCCATGAAGGGCTTTAAAGCTGACAACCAACACCTTGAATTGCGTCCGGAGACCCACAGGAAGCCAGTGCAGCTCGTGGAGGATAGGTGACACATAGATGTACCTTGGTGCACCCACAGTCGCTCTCATGACTGCATTCTGAACCAACTGCAGCCTCCGAACGCTCTTCAAGGGTAGCCCCATGTAGAGTGCATTACAGTAATCCAGTCTTGAGGTGACAAGGGCATGAAGTAACCGTGAGTAGAGCCTCCTGGTCCAAATAAGGCTGCAACTGGTGCACTAGGCGAACCTGGGCAAAGGTCCCCCTGGCCACAGCCGATAGATGTTGTTCCAAATTTAGCTGTGAGTCCAGGAGGACACCCAAGTTGCGTGCCTGCACTGAGGGAGGTAAATTTACCCCTCCCCCAGAATTAATGATGGACCATCAGAATGACTCTTGAGGGGCAAGACCCAGAGCCACTCGGTCTTGTCAGGGTTGAGTCTAAGCCTGTTCACCCCATCCAGACCCTCACATTTTCCAGGCACCGGCACATCACGTCGACTGCTTCACTCTTCCTTAATAATTAAGGGTCTCTAAAAATAGCCATATTTTAAACTTTTTCTGTAAATATGTTATTGACAGAATGTTTGTTCCCACTCAGTTAAACTTGGAAACTATCCCCCAATAAGATTAAGAATTTAGGATTCATTTGAAATTACACAGTATTATTAATAGAATAAATTTTAAAATGCATTTTAAAATGAATTTATTGATAAGTTACATATGAAACATAAACATTGTAATGATTGCTATTTCCAGTTAATGCCTGTAATTGAATTAAATTAAACAATTGAGGTAATATAATTTTTAGTAAAAACATTATTTTATGTTATTAGTTGTAACAGAGACAGAAATTATACTGAAAGATTTGGACCAAATTCTCAGTCAAGTGTTAGTCACCTCCAAGCCTTTCTTGGAGTCATCTGGGAATCGAGAGGACAATAATGAAAGAGAAGAGGTATGAATTATTAATTGGAAGTCCAGAAACTGCTACTAATGGGGGGGGGAGCTAAAATCCTATGCGTGCTTATCTAAGAATAAATTCCATTAAAATCAATGAAACATAGTTTGAATAAGCATATATGGGGCTAGGCTGATTTTAGAATGCATTTGCAAAAAGTGTTCACCTCTAACATTAAAAAGAATAATTTCACTGTTAATCTGAGAAATAATACATATCCTTCAAATAAATATATTTTAGTGACTAAATAAAATATTTATCAGTAGAATAACATTATACTGATAAATGAGCTTCTTTTTATTTTGGCCAAATCAAAAAACAACTGTCATTTTAATCCTATTCTTCCACCCTTTATATGTTTTTAAATGGACAGAAGGAATATGTGACAGTGCAAATCTGGATTTATAAAGAAAGAGAGTGCTATATGAAAATACAATTATGTATTCCCTTATATATTAATTACATCTGCTATACTATTTTCCAACAAATTCTAGTTGGATCACAATCCACAAGACTGTGTCTATAATAGACCAAGTAAACAGCAAAAGAAACAATTAAAAAATGAACTTCGTTGATAAACTTGACAATCTTTCCAGTATATTAAAACTGATGATTTTAGATTAGTCCTATTTATTTCATTTGGATATTTCAATAGATCTGGATCCAATGCAGAATTTCCAGTTGAAAAATCATATTTCCATCAAGAAATAGCTAGATTATTCAGCAAATGAGTAATGTATTGTGGTTTTTGATTTACATTTATATTCTCACAGTACAATTATTTTTAAATAATGCTTTGTTTTCTATGAGATTTAGCTAGATTAAATCTTGTTTCCACACTGCAATGCACTGAATTTTGCAAGGTGTTTAGCAAAAAAATAAGACAAACCACATTATAGGTTAGCAGGAAGTGTGAATCTAATCATTAGCTGTGCAAATATAATGAGTCATCTCTTCTGAATCAAGTGCATGGAATTGCGGCACTAATACATTTTATTAACTTTTATTATCAGTTAAAAATATAGACGAAGCAAAAGTTAGAAAAATAAAAAAGCAAAAAGTATAAAAAGAGAAGAAAAAATTAATGACTTACGATTGTTCTTGGTGCAGTAAACAATGAAAACAATAGATCAATTTGTTGTTTTACATTTCACAACATCTCAAATGATTTCTATAATTACAAAACTAGTCTAATCATTAAAACCTAAAGCAAAAATTTCATTTTCTGTCAGTTTCTAGAAAAAAATTCAGAAGCAGTTTCCAATTAGAAACATAACTAGATAAATTCTTTAATTGAAGCAATTTCACCATCTATGCTAGCTCCATCACCTTTGCCACCAATTCTTCCATTGTGGGAATTAGTGTGTCTTTCCAACTTCATGAAAACAGTTGCAAAGTTACATAATATAGTCACAATATGAATGAAGTCTTATTCTTTTTTTCTTTTTTGGCTTTAGGTGCTTAACTGCTCTTTAGAAGCTAGTGAAGAAAGTAGACCAATGGAAATCAGCACTGAAGAAGATTGTATTATAATTGATGGGAAAGCTTTCATGGCTGGAGAATGCATAGAGAGCATAACAGAACAATTTAAAGAAATAGATTATTTAATGGCTGACTTCCAAGGCAGCTTGTAGCACTAATAAGAGAGAATCTGTTATCCTGTTTATAACTTTAGAGGCATCCTTTTTCACATATAGTGGAAGAATGTTAAAAGCAGTTCAATAATATATAATATATATAATTATGTAATATATGTAATAATATATATTACATGGAGTTAGATTTACTTTAACAAGGGGTCAACAATTTGTTGCTAAAGTTGATATCCAATGTAGTCCATATTATTGTATAAATATATATTATAAGGAAAATTAATAGCAGTGTCATGTGTTTTTAGATATTGTTTTCTATAAAAATCAGATTGAAAATAAAGATTAATCATACTTCAGTCTAGAGAGTTTTTAAGATCTGAAGCTTTCTGACAAATCAGTTTATGTATACTTTTGTAGAAAGTCATTATGAAAATTCAATATTGTAAGAGTTGTAATTGGAAGCCTCAATTTTAAATAATTATATGAATTTCTTTGTTAAGATTCATTGATGGATCACATCATACATCCATAGATATAATTCCAACTGGGATGTTTTCAATTGAGCCATCAATTTGCAGTAAACTCTATTTGTTCCTAGCTAGAGCAGGAACTATTTTCTCATATGACCATAGAGAATAGAAAAACGATATCCCGGTGTGATTTCCTAAGAGCCATGAAATTGATCTCATATGCCTCCCACATACTTCTGATTAGAAAAATGTGTACTTAGAAAGATCATTAAAAAGCAGAAGGTCTGTATATGATTCAGCATTATCACAACTTTTTTGTTCTAATAATTAGGATTACAACTTTAACACTTCATTTAAACAATCTAGAAAAGTTGCCATTCTTGCCTCCATTCAATTCCATTTTTAACATAAAATTAGGGCACAGAATAAAAATATGCTTATTTTAACTATGCCATTTGTAGCACATGTACAATATACATGTGTGTTTCTTCCACAATTAATTATTTTGATTTTTTTTGTTGTAAATAAAATGAGTATATTATTGACTTCAAATCATGTAACATTATATTTTCTTCACTTGTGATATATCTGTATACTGTTAGATGAGTGCATTATACCATTTTATGAATCAGAAGTACATTAAGAATTCTAGTAAGCAAATAGTTATCTACAAGAGTTTTCTTTAAGAAGTATTAGTACGAAATAAATCAGATAATATTATCTGAAGCATCAAAAGCAAACAAGAAAAACACAACTTTTCCTTCATAGGAACACATCTACTTATATGGCCAGATGTATTGATTTAAGTATTATATATCACATGCTGGTTAGGTTGGGGAATTAAAAAAAAATACCTTGAAAAAGGCAATAATGAATAATTTCTTAGTACCGTACTTTCTGGCATATAAGACGACTTTCGCAAGCGTTAAAATCGGAGCCAAAGTCGGGGGTCGTCTTATACGCCGGGTCACCTTATACGCCGGAAATAACGGTACTTCAAAAAGAAACAAATCCTGCAAGGATGCAGTTGCTGGAACCTGAGTTCAACTTGAAGATTTTTCTGTTCCTTTTTATCTCATACATGAACACATTCAGTGTTCTGCAATAACTTATTCATTCATTTATTTAATCAGCCTGGGAAAATGATAGAGTAGAATCACTGGGTGGATCTCCATAGCAGTCTGGCTATGAATTCCAATACGATATAAATTTGGCCTTTCACATGCTTAATAAAATATCTTATATAACAAGTATTGTGAATAGAGAAGGGAGATCAGCTTTCTGCAGTTTGCTGGCAGGGAATTTTGTATTCCTGAGACAGTTGGAAAGTGCACCTTCTGCAGGTTTCAATATGTAAGAAATATTTTTTCATCACTTCATCCATATATGCTAAACTCCTTTCTTATATAACTATAGAGGAAACTATCTAGGAAAAGTGTAACGAGGTGCCTAAGATGTTTGATTTGTGAAAACTACTTCCACAAATTATTACAACCTACTTATTTTTCATTTTATTATTAATTCAAATCTTTAAGACCATTCACAGTAATATACAATCTTATAGTAGCAAAATATAAATAAATTAAATAAATTTCTCTTAGTACTCTCCAAACTATTCTGGTTTTTATTTTGAATGTTGGCTCTGGACATTTTTGATTTGGGTTTTGTGCTTGTGTGAGCAAAGTGTGATTGGAGCTGCCGTCTCTTTATAAATATTGGTGGGGTTGTGTGGAGTGCTGGCTTAGTTGCTGTAGGTGGGTTGATTGGCTGTGTTGGAGTTATTGTTTGCGGATTGTTTGGCTGTTTCATAACATCCTGAGTAGTTGAGGTGCTGGCTGTGTGCCCATTAGTCTTTTGTGTTGTAACAACCTGGGTAATGGGCTGTGTGGTGACATCCTGAGATCTAGTGTGGTGATATCCTGAGTTCTGTGTTGCAACATCCTGGATGGTAGGCTGTGTTGTAACATCCTGAGTGTTAGCGTTGTGACCTCCTGAGTTCTGTGATGTGATGTCCGGAGCAGAAGGCTGTGATGTAACATACCAGGCTTATTTATAGAGAGATGGCAGCTCCGATCACACTTTGCTCGCACAAGCATGAAGTCGAAGACCCCAGCCTGGAGATGACAAGTGGGACCTCGTCAAAACATCACCAAGATACTCTCAATCTTACACGGGAAAAGACCCGAATACGCCAAGACCTGCATATATATATATATATTATAAACAAAATATAAACATAGTGAGCATACAAAACTAAATGTGTATTCCGATTCCCAACCAATAAATTTTGGTAACACTTCTTTTGAACAGGTTTTTAGAAGGGCCCTCATGTGGTAAAGTATGTTTGAACTCCTTATCTTATTTTTGATCCATTTTGTCTGGCTTGCATAACGTCCTGATGAAAGGAAAGAGATTCCTCTGTTCCAAAGGGAACATAATTAGCCCAGGATTTCTTTTCATAGATATTTGCATGCAGAAAAATCTTTATCGAATTTGTAAAAATGTACAGATATGAAAGTATTGTGAGCATCAATGGCAGGGTCAGGATCCATTTGTGTAGCTCCATAACTTTTCCCTCTTAAGGGGACTATTTGAGAAGTGATAAGGCATCACTGTATTTTGAATCCAGCACTGGGAAGAAGAGCTTTTAGAAGGGAATCAGAAATTAGGAAAATTGCTTGTTAATACAAGACTAACCCATTTTCTACAGCTAAATTTTTTATCACAGACATCATTACTCAACATAATGATATCACAATTTAAGGATGTATTGCTGCATATGCTTACCTGCATGCAATGTATATTACATGTACATTGATAACAACATACCCATAATATAAAAGTTTTATGACGTCCCTATGACTATATCCACTAGACTGTGCCTTACCTGAATAATGAAAGGAGCTGCCAACTTGATTTCATAAGAACTGTAAGAAATTATTTATTTTTAAGCACAAACTGACCTGGTCATGTCAGAAATCAATAAAGTGCAAAGCAGTAAGAAATTGCCAGTAATCCCCAATACTTTACTTTAAGAGCAGAGCACTTTTTTCATTGTACTAATACTAGATCTAGCTAGTGCTGGAGCCTGTAGTTAACTCCAAATGCCACTTTTGTATGTGTGTTTTGTTCTTCTCTCTTTCTAGGCAGTTTTCTTACTTTAAGTGAAGTAGTCAAGGCTCCAGATCTAGATATTATACTATGCTTCAATTGTTTTATTAATTTTCACACTTTTTTCTATAACATATTTCCAGTATGTGAGTGAATACTACTGCTATAATGTTTTACTTCCAAGCCTGGGATGTACAATATTGCAATATATTTGTAAGAGTTATATCATTTGTATGAGACAAATAGATTTAAAAAGCATACATTTTATATATAATATTTGGAAAGCTTAAAAGTTGTCTGGTCCAACAACCTATTGTCAACACTGCTAATATTGAATATTCTTGCTTTGACAAAATATGCAGAACTGTCTGGTATTTTTAGAGTTAATTCAGATGACAGAGAAAAGGGAGGAGATAGTAGGAAAGCCCGGGAAAATGAACAGAAGTGAATCTTTGCCCTCCAAGTTAATTGGAAGATGTGCATCATGACCCCAAAATAGGGGAGGGGAAATGCCTGGAATGTTATGTGCAAAGGGAAGGAAAATTCAGATCTTGGCATCCATCATGCCATGCTGACACGTCTCTACACTAATAAAGGTTTTTTTAGGTTAAACCATGCCTGAAGATTCTTTGAAGTATTTCATTAGTCAGACACATGACATCATCCCAAGATCTGAATTTTCCCCTGGGATAAAGAAAACAAAATGAGAGCTCCTCACCCATCAATGGTTCAAAGATAATCAACCCTCCCTAACATGTAGGGATGGCTTGGCTTACAAACGGGGGAAGCTATATTTGCCAGAAGCCCTCTGTCTTAATGCTCTCAAACACAGCCATGATGTAAAACAGGCTGGACACTTTGGATATTTGAAAACTCTACACTTCACCCACCCGCAATTTTGGTGGCCGGGGCTGAAAAAGGATGTGGAAAACTATGTAAAAAGTTGTACTGTATGTGCCACAATGAAAAGAATTCCAGGGAAAACCCTTCTCAACCATGGGAAGAAATAGCTATGGACTTTATAGTAGACCTACCTGAAAGTAGAGAATATAATGTCATCTGGACTGTGATAGACCTGTTTTCAAAGCAGGCTCAAATTCATCACCTGCAAAGGATTCCCATCTGCCCAACGACTGACCAAATTGTTCCTGGAACATATCTACCGGCTGCATGGCACCCCTAAGCGAATAATTTCGGACAGGGAGGTGCAGTTTACAGCAAAGTTTTGGAGGAGTTTTCTTAAATTAATTAGATCATCTCAAGGGTTATCATCTGCTTTTCATCCTGCCATCAATGGGGCTTCAGAATCCGCTAACAAAATGGTGGAGCAATATTTTAGATACTACGTTTCTTACCAGCAGACAAACTGGACTGATCTCCTCCCTTTTGCAGAGGTGGCGTACAATAATTCTGTGCACAGCAGCACCAACTACACGTCTTTCAGAGTGGCCACAGGAAAAGGGTTCAGCCCAATACCTGAACACCCACAGGTGCCCTCCGCTTCCCAGACACTTGACCAATGGGTGAGGGGGTGGGAAGAAGTTTGGAGAAACACAAAAACTGCTTTAAAAAAGACCTTTGAAACATAGGAAACAGAGGAAATAGATGAACTTTTTGCTAGTCAGCTAACTAAGGTATGTAGGGAGCACATCACAATAGTAATGGGGGACTTTAACTACCCTGACATCAACTGGGAGACAAACTCCGCACCAAGTGGAAGATCAAACAGGTTCCTGGCAAACCTAGCAGACAACTTCGTATCCCAAAAAGTAGAGAAAGGAACTAGGGGATTAGCCATTTTGGATCTAATTCTCACTAACAGAGATGAAATGATAGAAGGTGTTGAAGCCATAGGAACCCTGGGAGGAAATGATCATGCAATATTAGAATTCATCATTATGGAAGCACAAGCAATAGAACACAGTCAAACTAGAGTCTTGGACTTCAAGAGATCTAGTTTCAATAAACTTAGAGAGAGCTTGGGAAGGATTCCATGGATGAGAATCCTCAAGGGGAAAACAACTCAAGAAGCTTGGGAAATTTTGAAAAATGAGATAATAAAAGCACAGTCTAGCACAATACCAATAAAGAGGAAAAACAACAACTCTCAAAAGAAACCAGCATGGCTGCATAAAGAACTGTCTGACAAATTGAAAGATAAAAAGGAAAAGTATAGAAAATGGAAAGAGGGGAACATAACTAAGTCAGAATATCAGCAAATAGCCTGAGCCTGCAAAGATGAAGTGAGGAAAGCCAAGGCTCAAAATGAACTAAGGCTTGCGACCAAAGTCAAAAATAACAAAAAAAGCTTCTTTTTAAAAA